AAGATGGCCAAACTTCATCTCTCATACTTTGGACATATTGTCAGGAGAGACCAGTTGCTGGAGAAGGATATCATGTTTGGTAAGGTGGAGGGTCAGAGGAAAAGAGGAAGACCCCCAGTGAGATGGATTGGCCAAGTGGCAGCATCGATGGACTCAAGTGTGGCAACAGTAATGAGGTTGGCCCAGAATCGGGCAGTGTTTCGTTCTGCTTTGTGTAAGGTCCCTATGGGTTGGTACCGACTCGATGCCACCTAACAACAACAAATGTTATAAAGAATGGGAATTCCTGAACATTTACCTATCCATAGCCCTAGAGGCAGTTGTTAGAACAAAATAAGAGGATACAGAATGGCTTAAAATCAGGAAACTTTGAGTCAGGATTGTATCCTTATACCATACTAATTTAATCTGTATGTTATTGTTGTTAAGTGTTATCTAATCGGTACAGACTCATAGTGACCCTGTGTAAGGTTTCCAAAGAGTGACTGGTGAGTTTGAACCACTGGCATTGTGGTTGGCAGTCCAGTGCTTATCATACAAAGCCACACTGAGTGAATAATCCTAGAAGCTGGGCTCTATGAAGAAGAATATGACGTTAGGGTTGAAGGAAGACTCATTAACAACCTGCAGTATGCAGGTGTCACAACCTTGCTTGCTAAATAGGAAGAGGACTTGAAGCACTTGCTGATGAAGATAAAAGAATATAGCCTTCAGTGTTGATTACAGTTTACTGTAAAATAAAAAATGAAAATCCTCACTACTGGACCAATAAGCAACATGATGATAAGAGAAGAAAAGATCAAAATTATTGATGATTTCATTTTACTTGGATCTACTATCAGTGCTCATGGAAGCAGCAGTTAAGAAATCAAACAACATATTGCATTGGGCAGATATGCTGAGAAAAGGTGATCAATCCCTGTTCCCAGTACCTCAGAGGTCCAGGGGGCTCCAACGCTAAAGCAACAGCAACTAGTAGAGGGAGTCTCCTAAGAACCTTTTTTAAAACATGAGAAACAAAGACCTCTTTAAAGTGTTAAAAAGCAAAGATGTCACTTTGAGGACTAAGGTAGGCCAGACCCAAGTCATGGTATTTTCAGTTGCTTCATATGCATGTGAAAGTTGGATAATAAATAAGGAAAATCATAAAAGAATCAGTGCATTTGAATTATGGTGTTAATGAATATTGAAAGTACCATAGACTGCAAGAAGAAAAAATAAGTCTGTCTTGGAAGAAGTACAGCCAGGATGCTCTTTAGAAGCTAGGATGGTGATATTTCATCTCTTCACACTTCAGACTTATTTCAGGAGGGACCAGTCCCTTGAGAAGAATATCTTGCTTGGTAAAGTAGAAGGTCAGCTAGAAAAAAGGAAGACCCCTGAAGATATAGATTGTGAGGATGGCACAGGGCAGGGCTGTATTCCGTTCTGTTGTATGTAGGGTCGCTATGAATGGGAGCGACACGATGGCATCTAACAACAACAACAAAGAAGCGCTTTGTAAACTTGTGACTGTGATGAAGACAGTGCCATCATCTTAGGCTATCTACCTCTGCACCAGCCCACACAGCCCAAAGTTCTAATTAGTAAGAGTAGCATGGTGTTTGTTTCTTAACTCTTGAACACCCAGCCCAGGTCATCACCTCTCCAGGAAGCTTTTCCTGAATGAACTCCTGCCCACCCCGTTTCTCTCTTTCCCTTTTTTTTTTTTTTAAATTGTGGTTTGCATAAACATTTACAGAGCAAATTAGTTTTTTTTCCATTCAACAATTTATAAATTTTTGTTTCATGATAATCCCCTCTATGTAATAGCACTTTTCCTATTTCTTCCCTGAGCTCCTGGTTTTCATTCATCCTTCTTTCCTGCCTCTTCCTTCCTTCTGCGTTTTGTTGTTGAACAAATACTACTCTTTTGGTCCCAAATGCTTGACTGTTTTGAGCAGTACATTCCTCACAAGAATATGTTCACTTAGTAAGTCCATTCATTGTTTGACTGAAAGGTGATTCTGGGGTGAGTTCAGTTCCATGTTTGAAGGGTGTCTGACGGCCATAGTCTTGGGGGTACTACTACATTCTTTCTTAATCAAACCAGTAAATTATGGTCTGATTCTACATTTTTCTCCAGGACCTATCACTGTGACCCAGTTCAGAGTGGTCAGTGGTAGTCAGGCCTCATCTAGTTCTGTCAGCCTCGGTCTAGTAGAGGCTGGGCTTCATCAGTCCTTAAGATTGTTTCCTTGAATCTTTGATTTTCCTTACTCTTCTTTGCTCCAGTTAGGGAGAACACCCACTGTTCCATCTTAGATGACCCCCTCACAAGCTTTTAAGACCCCAGTTGTTAATCATCAAAGATATAGAACATTGTCTCTGTGGACCATGTTATGCCAATTAACCTAGATCTTCCCGAGACTATGATTCTGAATTCCCAGGTCCAATGATTCATTCCCTCTAGGTATTTAGTTCTGGCTAAGATTCATAACTTTGTCCCCTATATGCTCTACTGATGGATTCATGGATCTCTTTGCAGCACATAGAAGAAGGATTTAAAAAGTGCATAGGGAAATGAGGTGAAAAGATCGTGGATTTTTTTCATGAATTTCTTGAAGTCCCCTTGTAGATATGTAGGAATGTTATCAGCCAAACTTATCTGTATTTGTGGGGGTGGTCCTATCCCTAATTGTTTCTTTGTGTGTCTCCTTGCTGGCCAGTGAGCAGCTAGCTGAAAGCAAGGAGCCCATCTTCTTCTCTGCATTTCCAGTGGGACCCTGACTTGGTGCCACATAGTCACTGAGCCAAGGCCCACCCCCAGAAGACCCTTCCTGTTCTGAGGCCCTCACTTTTGCAGGAAGCACCTCTAGCAATAGAGGGGAACCCTGACCTGGTCTCAGGTGTGAGCAGCCAAACTGAGGACTCGGAGTGCTGGTGGCTAACATGTCCCCTCTTCAAGCCTGGGAGAACCCTGCCACACCCTCTCCTTCCTCACATTGTGCCTCCCTTCCTGTTTAGCTAGACTGTTCAGATGGGGGCATTTTCCCTCCCTTTAAGGATCTGCCTGATTGAAGCCCATTCTCCTTGCATCTCCCCAACATCTCCTAAGACCCAAATCACTGACCTACCGGGGGGCTCCAGAATCCATAGACTTGGGATCAAATCTCAACTCTTATCAGCTGGGTGACAGGGACACAGCTCTCTGGACCTCAGTTTCTCATCTGTAAATAGAGAAGAATGCAGCCCTTTTGGGATTGTGACAGGTTCATGCGCTAGGGAGAGTGCCATCTGAAGACATGGCATCCTCGTCCAGGCCCTATTGGTGTACGACTGCAAGGAGAGCCCAGGCGGACACTCCCTAGATGCCTGCAAGTCCAAACATCCTGTTCTTGAATTCCTTTCAGAAGAAACAGGGAAAAGCTGCTTTTTTTTTTTTTTCCTTTTCCTTTCACCCATATTGAGTGACACTAAAAACACAGGCCCGGCTGGATTGAGCTACCAACTCTCGGATGTTTGGGAGCAAATCCGAGCTGCTAAGCAGGGTGGTGGCTCCTTTCCTGGATTAGGGCTGAGTCCGTGGGAACCAGACCACCCCTGAGGCCGCAGTGTGGCCCTGATGTCTCCCAAAGGTCTGGGCCTGCAGCGGAGCCCCATCCTCCTGGGGAGGGGGAGCCCTGGGCTCATGTTCTCCCCACCCCTCCTGCCTCCTTCCCTGCAGGTGAACTTTCGCAGCCCCCGGAGTGGCCAGAGGTGCTGGGCTGCACGGACCCAGGTGGAGAAGCGGCTGGTGGTGCTGGTGGTACTTCTGACAGCGGGGCTGCTAGCCTGCTTGGCAGCGCTGGGCGTCCAGTACCGGACAAGTAGGTGCCTCCGTCATGTTGCATATGGGCTTGACTCCTTCCTGCTACTGTCTCTCCCTGCTTGTTCAAGGCAGGAGAACTTCTCTGCCCAAGAAGGGGTACTAGCTAGTCTCTGTTGCTGCGCTAGGCTGAGACCTGGGAGGTGGGCAGTGTCAGATAGTGTAAAGGTTTTAAAGCTACAGGACGTGAATCCCAATCCTGGCCCAGCAACTTATTGACTGCGTGAACTTGGAAAAGTCCTGTGACCTGCCAGAGTCTGTGTCTTCTCTCCTTTTAAGTCGGGAAATTGATGCGCAGTTTGGGGACAGCGTTTAGGGCTCGAGATAATGATACGCATGTTGCCTAGGAAGATTTCTTTACTTAGCTCTGGGTGCTGTTGTTGATAGGAGGTGGGTTGGTTGGTATTGTCTCCCTTTCGTAAGTCCAGTAAAAGGCAATAATGGCTTCTGTTTACTGGATACTTCCCATGAACACCATACCACTATTTTATAGGAATGATCTCATTTTCTCCTCACAACAACCTTTTGGGGTGTGGTTGCTTTGGACCCCATTTTACACAGAGGAAGCTGAGGCACTAGACTAAATAACTTGCTGAAGGCTACGGAGCTGAGACGGGAGGGAGAGGGGAGGCTGAAGTTCAGCCATAGACCCCACCTCCCTTAGTAATCCCAGTGCATCCAGTGTATGAACTGTTCCCAGAACTGGCCTTTCAGCTCCAACAAAGCCCTGTCCTAGAAAAGCTGTCCTTTGTGACCCAGTCAACTGCTGTGTACCTCTAATGGTGTGGGTCTCTCACCTCATGGAAAGTGATATTGAGTGCTTGATCCTGGCCCCACTGCCAGGCCTCTGAGGCTGATTCTCCAGACCTCTCACACCGGTCCGATGCTCAGTAGGCATTGAAGTGAGTCTTAAGTTAAAAATCAAGGCTAGGGAATCTAACCAATGCCAGGGTCTCTCCTATTCTGCTGTACTCTAGCATCTAGCTTTCTGATTACAGATGGTCTGCCTGGTTGAGGAACCTCTAAGGGCTTTGCTCAGGGTACCATCCCACTGACTTGGTCACTCCCCCCTTAAATGAGTCCATGACCCTTCGCAGGATCAGGGAACTTCTCCCCCAAGCTTGAATGAGCCCTTCCTCTCTGTGAAGTTGCTGGCCTGTGTGGGTGTTCATGCTGGACTGGGATGGGGACTTCATTTGAGTTTTCCTTGCTTCCCTCCTGGCTCACATATATAGTCATTCATTTATTCATTCATTCATTCCACAAATATTTAGTGAGTGCTTCCTCTGTGCCAGGCATGTAAATGGTGCTTAAGAAATAACTGTTTGATTACTTAACTGACTCTTTGAGTCCTAGTGTGGCACTGTAGGCTAAGTACTGGACTACTAACTGCAAGGTCAGCAGTTCAAACCCACCAGCCACCCCTTGGGAACCCTATACAGGTTTGCTGTGAGTGGGAACCAACTTGATGGCACCTAACAAATAGTTTGAAGGTTTTTGTTGTTAATTTTTTAAAACAAATGTGCCTTGTTCTGTGCCTAGCCCAACAGGTACTTAGTGAATATTTGATTGAGTGAAATCCTTAGCCATTTGTGCCTGGTCTAAAGCCTGCATACCATGGATATGCAAATAATCTGCAAAACAAATGATTGCATGGACAGAGGAGGATTGGGCCTGGGGCGGCTTTTCTCTGCTCATCTCCTTCATCCTTAATAACGTCCAGTTCAGAACACCCTGACTGTTAGTCTGGACCCTAGTCAGATTTAATTAATCAAATCTGCCCACTTTTGACCTTGTGTGGGAACAGACGAGACTCCAGCAGCCAATGTTGCCCAGAAGTGTTCTCAGGATCTTTCTTCATTGGACACCAGCAAGAAGCCCCGGAGGGCTGGTTCCTGGCCAGGCCAAAAACATGTCTGCTGTTATTTCCAAGGGAACCCACAAAGGAGACATCCACTTTCTACCTCTATTCCAGTTCAGGACTGAAGAAGGATTTTCCCCAGGTCTGTGAGTCAGAACTGACTCCACGGCACTTAACAACAACAAGAATTGAGGGAGAGGGACATCCCATCTCTGCATGGAGATCAGGGGACCCCTAAAGAAGTGGTACCCATTACCCAGCTGATGTCGCCACATCTGAGCAACCTGATGCCTTAATCCACCTTCCTGCTGTGCCCTCCTCTCTAGACACTGCAGATACTTTGTAAACAACAGCCCAAAAACCATCAATAAATTCTCCCACCCAGAAAATTCTCTGAAGTTTTGCATAGTGTCAAGGCCAAGTACGTCTGGACTGACCATACCTGGTTTCTGCCTCCAGGAGTGGTGACTGAGGGTTGGACAAAGCTCTTTTGTTCATTCACTCATTATTCACTCATTTATCATTGAGCAAATGTTTATCGAACAACTGCTAGGTGCCAATTGCATTGTTGGACAAAGAAGATAAAAAAGCAAGTAAGATACTAGCCCTACCCTCAAGCTCACAGTCTCGTAAGGGAAGTAGACACGTGGATGACCATCACAAATTGCATAGTCTGGGCTGGGACAATGGATATCGGGCAGCCAGAGGACCCAGAAGAGGGGTGACTAGCCCAGCTGGGGATCTGAACGGCTTTCCTAAGGAGATGGAATTTGACCCAAATTTTGAAAGTGTTAACATTAATGTCAGTTGAGGAAGACCTGGAAATCATTTATTCATTAAATATGCATTAAATGCCTGCTGAGCCAGGCATGTTTGGTAAGAGAGCTACAAACCATTAACTAGTCAGTTAAATAATCAAGCAATTTCATTTTTAAGCTTCATCTAGCCTAACAACCTAGGCCAGAGTCCCTGGGTGGTACAAATAGGTAATGAGCTCAGTTTCTAACCAAGAGTTTGGAGGTTTGAGTCCACCCAAAGGTACTTTAGAAGAAAGATCTGGCTATCTACTTCTGAAAAATCAACTCTTGAACTAGCTCTGGAGCACAGTTCCACTCTGGCACACATGGGGTCACCAGGAGTTGAAGTCAGCTCAGCAATAATGGGTCCCTTTAGGTACCTAGCCCAGTGCCTGGCAGAGGAGGTGCTCAGACATAGACCCCTTGAGACTAGTTTCTTTGTTTTTAAACCCAACTTCCCTTTATAAACACCACAAGAACACTATTCTCTCTCTCATGTGTACACACACACACAGATTGTAATGTGCCCGAATGCCTGACAATCACTCTCTTCCAGTCTTTCTTCTGGCTAGTTCCATCAGCTGAAATTTTCTTAAGCTTTGCTTCCTGTTTTTTGTTATATAAAGACAATGGGTATTCTTTTTCCTTTTCCAAATACAAAATTATATCATAGTAGAGAAGAGGTTTTTTCAAACTGCACAGACATCCTCTTCTCCCCCAAACCCAAAAAAATCTTGGTGCATCTTCTAGTTCGGGAGGGGAAAATACTTCTCCAAATAAGATGATCTGATCTAGAGTTATTTGAGCTATGTTATTGTTGCTGTTAGGTGCTGTTGGGTCAGTTCTGACTCATTGTGACCTTGTGCACAACAGAACAAAACACTGCTGGTTCTGCACCATCCTCACAATTGTTATGTTTGAGTCTTCTGTGTTAGTCTGTCTCATTGGGCATCTTCCTCTTTTTCAATGACCCTGCATTTTACCGAGCACGATGTCCTTCTCCAAGGACTGAAAAGACAAAATCTCACTATCTTCACTTCTAAGGAACATTTTGGCTGTACTTCTTCCAAGACAGATTTGTTTATTCTTCTGGCAGTCCACTGTTCTTTCCATATTCTTCCCCAACATCATAATTCAAGTCTATCAGTTCTATGTTGTTGTTGTTGTTAAGTGCCATCGAGTCGGGTCCGACCCATAGCGACCCTATACAGGGTTTCCGAGGGTGTAAATCTTTACGGGAGTAGAAAGCCTCATCTTTCTATAGCTTGTCTTATTTATGGTCCTGTTTTACATGCATGTAAAGCAATTGAGAATACCATGGCTTGGGTCCATTACACCTTTGTCCTCAAAGTGATATCTTTGCTCCTTAACACTTTAAAGAGGTCTTTAACAGCAGATTTGCCTGATGCAATATACCATTTGGTATCTTGACTGCTACTTCCATGACCATTGACTATGCATCCAAGCAATAAGAAGTTTTTGACAATTTCAATCTTTTCTCCGTTTATTATAATATTATCTATTGGTCCAGTTGTGCAGATTTCTGATTTCTATGTATTGAGTTGAAATCCATACTGGGGGCTGTAGTCTTTGATCTTCATCAATAAGTATTTCAAGTCCTCTTCACTGCCAACAAGTAAGGTTGTATCATCACATCTTGTTAGTGAGCCTTCCTCCCAACCTGATGCCATGTGCTTCTTTATTTGATCCAGCTTCTCAGATTATGTGCTCAGCATACAGACTGAATAAGTATGGTGAAAGAGCACAACCTTGGTGCACACCTTTTCTGAATTTGAACCACCAACCTTAGGTTCAACCAGACCTTGTGGCCAAATGCTTATGCTTATCCTGCAGCACCACACCAGGATTTTTTTGGAATAGGCAAAATTGGGATTTTTTTCCCATCGGTTGGCCAGGTAAGCTGCCTTCCAAATGTCCTGAATACACAAATCAGTACTTCTAGTGCTGCAAACTTTTCCATTTGTATTATGTCTTGCTTTTCGCCGGTGCCTGAAGTGCAGCTTGGACTTCTTCCTTCATTACTATCAGTTCTTGATCATATGCTACCTCTTGAAATAGTTGAACCTCAGCCAGTTCTTTTTGTGGAGTGACTGTGTATTCCTTCTTTCTGTGTTTTGTTTTTTTTTTAACTTTTTATTGTGAATTGAATGATACTTTACATGGGCGAGCATCGGTCTTACCCTCATTATTTCATTACAGTGATTCCAGTCTCCTCCATGCATCACCATTCAGCATTATTTTCTTCTGTTCCCTCTTTTGGGGGTGTACACAAAAACACTCAGAAATATATAATGATTGAAACAACCAAAGTTCTTGCATATTTCATTTAATACTTGACTTTGTCTTCTTGAACTATCCTTTGAAATTTTCTGTTCAACTCTTATACTTCCTCATTTCTTCCATTCACTTCATTATTTTCTTTCTTTCCTATCTTTTTAATGACCTTTTGCTTTCTTCTGGGTTTTGGTCATTAGTGCCTAATACATCAAATCTTTTTTTGAATGGATCTCTAAATTCAGGTGAGATATATTCAAGATCATATTTTGACTCTCATGAACTTGTTTCAATTTTATTCCGCTTCAGCTTGAACTTGTATATGAGCAATTGATGGTCTGTTCCACAGTCAGCCCCTGGCCTTGTTTCAGTTATGATATGAAGCCAAATCTCCTACCATTTCCTCTCTGTATTGTCATACTTATGGCTCAATCCTTTTTTAAAAAAATAATATTTTATTGAATTTTTGGTGAAAGTTTACACAGAAAATTAGGTTCCTATTTTACATTTTCCACACAAACTATTTAATAACGTTGTTGTTAAGTGCCATTGAGTCAGATCCAACCCATAGCGACCCAGTAAAGGGTTTCCGAGGAGTGGCTGGTGAACTTGAACCGCTGCCCTTGAGGTTCAGATGGACCTTGCAGTCCAGCACATTAGCCCACAGCTCCATACCAGGACTCCACTTAATGACATTAGCTACATTTATTATAATGTGTCAACATTCTGGGCTCTGTTTGTTCCACTTCCCAAACTCTAGTTTCTCTGCCCCCTTGTTTTCTCATCTTTGTTTTTTGAGTAATTGTTGACCTTTTGGCCTTACACGGATGGTTTTCTAAGTAGGGCGCTGATCTTGTATTTTGTGTGCTACTCTGCTATTTCACTAAAAGGGGATCTCAGGGTCTAGGCTCAGTTCTACTTTTTAATAGTATCTCAGGGCAATAGTCTTAGGGAGTTTTCTCTTTTCTCCTCTTCCAGTGTGTCTGACTTTTCTCTTTTTTAATACTCATTTGAGCTGTGCCACACGTTTTTCTCCCATTCTATCCAGGACTGTCTGTTGTGACCCTTGTCAGAACGGTCATTGTCGGGAGCTGGACACCATCTAGTTCTTGTGGTCTCAGCGTACTTGAGGTCCTGGCTCATGTAGACTAGTTCCTTTTTTGAGCTTTGGATTATCTTCTTACTCTTGTGCTCCTCATGAGTAGAACCCCATAGTTGTGAATAATTTTTTTTAAAACTGTGTAGTTATCGCAAAACAAATCTTTACCTCAGAATCAAGAAAACCTGATTTTTTTCACTGTTGTGCAGCAACTCTGACCCTGAAGTCAGCCTGAAGGACTTTGTGTTTGTCACTGGATGTTAATAAGCCCACAAGTCAACCACTGAGTTATGCTTTCAGGGTGACAGGACAGCTGCCCCCACCAGTCCTTTCATTCTGGTCCACTCTCTAAAGATCACTTTTAGATCTTTGTTGTTGTTGTTATGTGCCGTGGAGTCGGTTCCGACTCATAGTGACCCTGTACAGGGTTTCCGAGGCTATAAATCTTTACGGAAGCAGAAAACCTCCTCTTTCTCCCATGGAACAGCTGGTAGTTTCGAACTGCTGACCCTGAGGTTAGTAGCCCGATTCGTAACCACTACGCTACTTACCCATTATTTTTATATAATACCTATTTTATATAATTTATAATTATATAAAATATATTTTATATAATACCTAATGTTAGCAAGCTATTGGAAGTGAAGCTTGATAAAATTTCAGCTGATGAGACTATACAAAAGAAAGATTAGAAGAGAGCTATTTTAGGGAAGTGGGGCACATCACTGTGTGTGTGTGTATGTGTGTGTGTGTGTATATATATATATGCACAGAGTGAGAAAGAGGGAGCTTTTGTGGGTTTGGTGGTTATCATCAGACCCTGAGACTCAAGGGTGTTTAGTCCCCATCCCCAACCACTTGGCCTCGGGAAGTGGATGGGCACACAGGAAGCTGAAGACAGTGAAGGGAAAGAGGTCAGGCACACTGGCCTCACGCTTTCAGCGTTTCTCCAGTCACCTCTGCCGGGCTCTCTGTCCAATGGAACCTGAAGAGCCAGAGGGAGATACCACGTGCTAGAGACACCAGCCTCCATTCTGATCTCTCAGATGTTCAATGTATTCACTCTCACAGCAGCCTTGTGAAATCAGTCCTTCTGCAAATTCCTAGATAGAGAAACTGAGGCTCAGAGAGATGAGGTCATTCACACAAGACCCCCCCATAGCAGGCAGCAGATAGCTGAGATTTGAACCCAGGTCTAACAGCTACTTTGAACCTAGGTCTTCCCCTACTCAGTTGGGAAGCCAACCTGCCAATCAGCTCCTGTGTGACCAGGAAGGGGCCGTGAGAAAGGATTGGAACTGATACACCTGGGTTCAGACTTAACTCTCCCACTTATCTTTGTGACCTGGTTTGTTCACTCTCTCAGAGCCTCAGTGTCCGTATCTATAAACAGGATGCTCACACCTGTATCTGATGCCTGTCGTGAGGCTTGAATGAGGTCATGACAGTGTGTGAAATGTCTGGCATGCCCCGTGTTCAGTAAACAGTCCCTCTTGTCTCCAGCATGACTGTGTCAACAGATGATTAGGCTTCATCTGTGTCCTCAGCGCAAGCCTGGGTCTTCAACCCTGTCTACCTCCTGTAGCCAGATTCCTCCTGCCCGAGGGTTGGCCTCCTCCTGAGGCTGCCGGGGTCTGGTTTGGTTTCTTTGCTAGAGCCACCCACCTCCACAGCTCCTCACCTGCCTTGATGCAGAGGTCTGGCCTCTTCCTTTCTCTGGCCTTTGGACAGCCCTTTCCACCACTGCCCTGTATCCTGTAAGAACCTGCTAAAGAGAAGTTGTTTTCTCTGCTCATATGTGTTTTGCTGGCATATGTAGAATTGGGCAACCCTCTTCACTGCCCAGTGGTGCCAACTACTGTTCCTGCTTTAGCTGGTATCAGAAAGGCAGGACTGCCCTGCATCCTGGCAGTGTATGGCAGTTATCATGGGAGAACATAGCAGGTGCCCAAAAAGTACCCTCACCCGGCCCATAGTGGGAAGGGAAGGGCATAATGGAGAAAGAGCAGGATTTCCCTCCCACATTGGCCACTGAGCAAGGTTCTTGACTTCTCTGTGCCTTCATTTCCTCATACATAAAAATGGCCATAAGCAAAACAGTTTCTTAGGGCTGTTTTGTTTTTGTTTTTTGAGGGTTCGGTGAGGTAACTCTCCTGTCTATGAATGATTTCATAGTTCCTGTCTCCTATTCCTAATTGTTTTTCCTTCTCCCTAAGTCCTGGCACCATCTTGTCTGCATATAGAAAACAGTTTATGCTTGTAGAATGAAGGACAGTCTCATGTTATCTTTTGACTTTTCTTGTATCATGTTTATATCCCCAACTAAGTTATTAACTCTTGAAGGAAAGAACTCTGCCTTTATAGTCTCTCTCTCTCACACACACACACACATATCATACCCAGCAAAGAACCTAGAACATACTCAACAATTATTTTGCTGAATAAATGAATATATTTGAATGAGGGAATGAATTTGTTGAGTGCCAGGGGCAAAGTCTTAAAAATCAATGAATATTTATGGGAAGGAGGGAAGAAGAAAGGACTAAGAGAAACACTTTGGTTTGGGATACTTTTGAAATCTCTAGAAAGGATTGTGGTCAACTACAATCAGGAGTAGGGAGCTCTGGTAGCGTAATGGCTACAAGTCGGGCTGCTAATCTCATGATTAGCAGTTAGAAATTACCAGGGGTTACATGGGAGAAGATGAGGCTTTATGTTCCCATAAAGATTTACAGCCTTGGAAACCCTATACGGGGTCGCTGAGAGTCAGAACCGACTCCACAGCACATAACCACCACCACAATCAGGAGTAAATAAATCAGAAATTAAACAGATGTCTGATTTTACAAGCCAGGAGTTGGTAAATCTGTTGAAATCCTTTCTCTGTCAGGGTCTCACCATCATCCAGTCCCAGATCTTGGGTCAAGGGCCCAGTGTGACGTATCATCCCTGGGCCGAGCTAGCTGCACTGTGCTCCCTCAGCCTCGCCCTTGCCTGCCCTTCACTGACCTCTTGTCTCTGGCAGGATCCCCCCAAGTGTGCCTGAGCGAGGCCTGTATCTCAGTGACCAGCTCCATCTTGAACTCCATGGATTCCACGGTAGACCCCTGTCAAGACTTCTTCAGTTATGCCTGTGGCGGCTGGATCAAAGCCAATCCTGTGCCCGATGGCCACTCGCGCTGGGGGACCTTCAGCAACCTCTGGGAACACAACCAAGCCATCATCAAGCACCTTCTTGGTAAGCAACCAGCAGGAGGACGGGTGAATGGGCCGCAGTGAGGGCTGTCTGCCTTGCCCACCCAGCTGGGCCCCAAGAGAAAGAGTTGGGTATTGAGTCAGAATGTCTGCCTCGTCACGTACTATGTGACCCTGGGTAAGCTGTTATCTCTGAGCCTCAGTTCTTAATCTCTAATATCCAAAGTGCAGCTTTGAGAGGTGTGCAGCACATGTATAAAGCATTAACCTGTTGGGTACAATTTATTGGGTGCACAGAACTGTCAGCTGTGATTGTTACTTTTGTGGCTTCAATGCGAAATCTAATTTTTGGTTTTTGTATACGAGTTTTACTGAGATAAAACCTATGTACCATACAGTTCACCTTTATAAAGCATATTACTCACTGGGTTGCTTTTTTTTTGTTTGTTTGTTTTTTTGTATGTACACAGAATGTACATCTCTCACCGCTATTTAATTCCAGAATATTTTCATTATTCCTAAAAGCAACCCCGTGCCCACTGGCAGTCACTCCCCATTCCCCACTTCTCCCAGCCCCAGCAACACTCACCTACCTCCCATATCTATGTTGTTGTTAGGTGCAGTCTAGTCAGTACCGATTCATACTAACTCTTTGCACAACAGAACAAAACACTGCCCGGTCTTGGGCCAACCTCACAATCATTGCTGCACTTGAGCCCATTGATGCTGTCACTGTGTCAATCCATCTCATTGGAGGTCTTCCTCTTTTTCTCTGACCCTCCACTTTACCAAACATGATAATCCTTCTCCAGTGACTGGGCCCCCCTGACAATATGTCCAAAGTATGAAAGATGCCGTCTGGCCATCCTGGCTTCCAAGGAGCACTCTGGCTGTACTTCTTCCAACACAGTTCTATTTTTTCTTTTGGCAGCCCATGGCACTTTCCAACATTATAACTCAAAAGCATCAATTCTTCTATGATCTTCCTTATTCACTGTCCAACTTTCACATGCATATGAGGTTATTGAAAATACCATGGTTTGGGTCAGGTGCACCTTAATCTTCATACTGACATCTTTGCTCTTCAACATTTGAAAGAGGTCTTGTGTAGCAGATTTGCTTATTGCCGTATGTCATTTGATTTCTTGACTGCTGGTTCTATGAGTGTTGATGGTGGATCTAAGCAAAAATGAAGTCTTTGATAACTTCAATTCTTTTCTCCATCTATATGGATGTTATCTATAGGTCTAGTGGTGAGGATTTTTGTTTTCTTTATATTGAGGTGCAACCCATACTGAAGGCTGTGGTCTTTGACCTTCTTCAATAAGTATTTTAAGTCCTCTTGGCTTTCAGCAAGCAAGGTTGTCTCATCTGCACATTGGAAGTTGTTAATGAGCCTTCCTCTAATCCTGATGCCACATTCTTCTTCATGTAATCCAGCTTCTCAGATTATTTGTTCAATGTATAGGTTGAATAAGTATGGTGAAAAAATACAACCCATCTCTAGATTTGCCTATTTGGGATAGTTTGTATAAATAGAACCATATAATATATTGTGTTTTGTGACTGGCTTACTTCATTTAGTAAAATGCTTTCAATGTTTATCATATGTAGCAAGCATCAGTACTTTACACCTTTTTATTACTAAATTCCCATATATGGACGTATAATATTTTGTTTATTAGATGATAGACATTTGAATTTGTTTCTATCTTTTGGCTATTATGAATAATGCTGCTCTGAGCTTTTGTGTACACACCTTTGTGTGGACATAAAGTTTGCAGTTCTCTTGAGTACATACCTAGGGGTGTGATTACTGGATCATATGCTAACTCTATGTTTAATGTTTTGAGGAACTGCCAAACTATTTTCCAAAGCAACTATACCATTTTGCATTCTGACCAGCAGCAATGTCCGAGAGTTCAGTTTTTTCATGTGTGAGTCTCTTATTCTAGCCATTGGGTGAGTGTGAAGTGATGCCTCATTGTGGTTGTTGTTTTGTATCGTTTCATTTTGTTTGTTTGGAGGAGACACTTATTGACCAGGTGCAGTGTTGAGTTGTTTCTTCCCAGCAGTGAGAGGATTGTAAGCACATAAGCAAAGCTTGAACCTGAAAATAACTGGCTATTTTAGGATTTGATTTGCAAAACTGTAGCTATCCCTTCAATTCCTGTTTTAGAGTTACTGTTGGCCATTTAATCTCAGATACGAAATTCTTGTAAAAAGCACAGTTCTCAAGGAGAATCTTCTTTATGCAGTGCGTTAAATTGTCGAAGAGCTTTTGGAAGAAAACTTCCCTGACATCATGAAAGTAGCTAAAATATCTCCAAACAGGACAGATCCCAAAAGAAAACTACCAAGATATATCATAATCAAACTTTCCAAAGTCAAAGACAAGGAGAGAATCCTGAGAGCAGCTTGTGAAAAGCAAGTTTACCTACAAAGGAGAACCAGTAAGACTAGGTTCTGATTTCGCAGCAGAAACCATGCAGGCAAGAAGGCAATGGGATGACATATACAAAACTCTGAAAGAAAAACCCAGCAAAGCTATTCCTCAAATATGTATTGTCTGCCCCATCACATATGTTAATATGGTTTACACTCTGGCCCATGCATGAATAATCCAATTCACCCCTATCTATCATAGTGAGTCCTAGTGTGGCACTGTGGACTAATGCATCAGACTGCAAAGTCATTTGAACTGCAAGGTCGGTGGTTCAAGTTCACCAGCTGCTCCTTGGAAACCATATACAGGGTCGCCATGGGTCAGAATCGACTCAACAGCTCTTAGCAGCATCTATCATAGTGTGATGCTGTGGATTAATGCACTGAACTGCAAAATTGATTTGAACTGCAAGGTTGGTGGTTCAAGCTCACCGGCTGCATCTTGGAAACCCTATAGAAGTGTCACTATGGGTCAGAACCAACTCAACAGCACTTAACAGCAAACAACAACAATCTATCATATAATGTTTCCTTTTTAGCAAGAAAATCTTTTAACTTTTTTTTTTTCAGTTACCAGTATTTACCTCTAATCACTTTTTTTTTTTTTTTTTCCCAGAGCAGCTTGATTATGATATGTCTCGAGATTTTTCAGAGCAGCTCTTAGGAATGATACTACTCTGAACGTTCATGTACAGATTTTTGTATGAACCATCATAGAATGTTTCCTTCAGCAAGAAAATCTTTTAACATTTTACTAATTTTACTAATGTGATTAACTAATTTTACTCAGCATAACGTTCTCCAGGAGTCCTATTGTGGCTCTGTGGATTAATATGCTAGACTGCAAAGCTGGTTTGAACCTCAAGGTTGCTGGTTCAAGCTCACCAGCCGCTCCTCAGAAACCCTGTACAGGGCTGCTATGGGTCGGAACCAAGTCGACAACACTTAACAACAACAACAACAACAACAACAATGTCCTCCAGATTCACCATATTGTGAGGTGTTTTGCAGATTTGGAATAGTACAGATTTGATAGCTACTTAGTACATTGAGTTTTTGTTTAAGCCCCCAAGATACTCAAAAGTAGGTAAAATAGGAGATCCCCGGAAGGGAGCAAATCTTTCCAAGGCATAGAAATCGACTCCACGGCACTTAATGACATTTCCTATGATACAGGAAGAGATGAGCAGTTGACCATTATGAATTGAAGTAAATTGTGGTTTTTAGGTGAAAGTGGCAGTAAGGACCCCAGGTGCTGGGTGGCACGTCCGCAGGCAGGGGTCTTTGGCAGAAGTTGAAACTACAAGAGCCTTCTGCTTGTCTCCTAGAGGATCAGAGTGGGTTGAAGGAATTCTGTGTCAGAAACAGGATAGCCCAGTCTGAGCTCTCTTCCTGCCTGCTTTGTGCTACCAAAGGTGTCTTTAAAAGAAGACATAGCCTTCATTTCTGAACTTCATTTCCAAAGTGAGGACAAATATGTCTGTTGTGATGAGATCAGAACTCAGAGATGGCCTTGTGCATTACTCGGAGAGCCAGCTGGGCCTTGGAGGGGCCCATCATCAGAAGCAGAGGAATAGTCCAGGCAGTTATAACAAGGCTGGCTAGAACTCCCACTACAGAGTCACAAAGGACCTGAATCAAATCCTGGCTCAGTCACTTACTGGCTGTGTGATCATAGGTCAATTATTTAACCTCTCTGGGTATTTTGGTTTTGAGGGAATTTTTTTTTTTTTTTTTTTGTCCCCCAGTAAAATGGAAACCATGCCACTTCCTTATCTTTGTTGTTGTTGTTGTGATGTGCCATGGAGTCGGTTCTGACTCATAGCGACCCTGTACAGGGTTTCCGAGGCTGTAAATCTTTACAGGAGCAGAAAGCCTCATCTTTTCCCCACAGAACAGCTAGTAGTTTCGAACTGTTGACCTTGCAGTTTGCAGCCCGATTTGTAACCACTACGATACCAGAGCTCCTTTTACGAGAACTAAATGAGAAAGTACATTTAAAGTGCTTTGCATAAGCCCAGCATGTTATGGTAGTCACCATTCATGTTGATGCTTGTTCTGTGCCCACTCTGTGCCTACAGTATCAGGTTCTTTATATCCACTGCCTCCGTAATCCTCACCACAACCCTGGAACTTGGGAATCATTGCTCCATCTTATAAATGAAGAAATAGAAACTCTGAAAAATCAAGTAATTTTGCCAAGGACGCCTCACCAGTTCAAAATGGAGAGGGGCTCAAGCTCTGAGGGGAAGAAGATACTGTCAAGAGGGAATCCAACAAGAAAGGCAACTGAGCCCCCTAACTTCTCAGTTAGATCTAGAGCTGTCCGTGTGTATTAGGATCTGATATATTCCAATGAGCCTTGGTCCTGCTAGTTGTGGGGTTAGAGGTCCTTGGGCTGTGTCGATACTGAGTTCACACACCCTCCCCACACCCCTGCTAAAGTGGCAGAGCTTATGAGGAGTGGACACCAATCTTGGGCTCTGACATTGCCTTTCCCCTGCCCCTGGTGGTCAGGTTATAGATAAGGAGCTGCACTGAGCTGGGCACAGAACCATGCATTCAAGCTCCTGGCACCAAGACCAGGGTCTGGTGGTA